ACTAAGGCCCGGCCTTGTTAAAACTAGACAATAGAATTTGTTTGTGCTTCATTTTCCCTTTTTGTTGTCAGATATTTAATGGCTCTGTTGGATCTTGGGGCTCTTACTGAGGAGATCAGTAACTAAGAGGTTAGGAGAGCTAGAAAAGGGAAATAATAGAAATAGAAATGACTTTTCTACATGAAGGATTTGGGGAAAAAGTAGATTTTTTTAAAAGTTTAATAATACTTGACGTAAAGAGTAGTACAAATGATGGTTGTAGTAATAAAAATAGGACCTGTTATATGGTTCTGATCTTGTCTGAGTACTTGGGGCCTATCACATTTTCTAATGAAACAGCCAGTCATAATTTAATACCTCTATGCAGAGTAGAAACAGACTTTTCTTGCTTTGAGGAGGTCTGAAAGCAGGTCTAGAGGGCCTGTACAAAAAGAGGAGCAGACAGGATTTTATCTACAAGAAAAGCAGGACAGTCCCCTCTGGTGAGGGTTCAAATGCAGAATGAACTTTAGCACCCCAGCTGTCTTCTGTAAGGGAGCTCTGTGCAATCTTTCTGTCCTGATACTTCCTGAAGGCAAATAGTTTCAGGATCTTTCTCGGTTCTAAAGTTATCTCAGTATTCCAGATGGAGGTGAGTAAGATTGTTTTCCGGAAATGGTGATTCTGAGTGCTGGGCCTGCCCTTCAGTAGAGGGCAGCAGCATTGGGCGGGGCAGGGTGAAGGACCTCAAGGTTTCTTTACTGGGGCAGTGGTTTTTCTGCCCACTGCGCTGGTCACTCACACACCCTCTGTGCCAATAAACAAGTTTGCTCAAGTGCCTGACTTAAAGCTAGGTAAAAACTGAAGTTGCTAATTGTTTTTCTATCATGATTGATTACCACCAGTGTACTTTGTATAAGAAGTAATAACTTGTTACTTTGCCCTGATGACAAAAGGTAACCAGTGATGACAGCAAAGGAGTTTAGCCACTTTTACTTTTCTGTACCAAGAACCAGAGCAGGCCCAGCACCCCACTCCTAGGGGAGAGAGCCCAGTAGGGAAACTGGCTGGGTGTCTCGTGGGAAGCATATTTTAACCTAGTAAGTAGAAACAAAATATGCTTTTAAAAAAAAAACTTTACTACTTAATAATCCTAAGAGATCATCATGAAAATCCATTTTTAGGTAATTTAGGTGAAACTTCACATCTGGTTTTAAAGTTCTAGTTCAGATAGTTTCTACTGTATGAAAAGGTTATAGTCAAAAAGTTCATTTATTGGTTTTGAGAATATATGTATTGATTATGTAGGTTCTGTCAAATTTTGATCTATGGTTTGGAACTCAAATCACATTTTCTCAGAGAAATGATGTTATAAGTGGTAGTTAGGTTCCCAGACCAGCACACTAATTAACCCATAAATAACTGAGATAGTACACATTTACAAGGAAAAAATGAAAGTCATTTTTGTAGGGTCACCTTTTAGTCATCATAAAGTGTATTTGATCATAAAGCACCTAGAAGAACACTTATTAAAAAGATACCATTTCCTGCCATCTCAATACTGATATTTCAAGCAAAATCAATAAAACAGAATTAGAGGTACATAGTTGTAAATTTTATATAGAATGCTGGTGGTTAGAAATAGCAGGTATTAATTAGGAGAGAAATTCTAGGCAAAATTAGAAGGGACCTCCAGCCTTCTTTCAGAACTTCTTCTATTCTTAGACCATCTCAGATGATTTCTTAGCGTAGTGCCTGGTGGCAACATAGGAAGCACCTAATAAATGCTTTCTCAGTCTTTCTCTTTAATTTGCCAAGCTTCCAAGAAAGTGGGGAAGAGTGAGAGAGAGAGAGAGAGAGAGAGAGAGAGTGTGTGTGTGTTGCCTCTCCACTGCTGCTCATTTACTCCTTGATCCTTTGTAGGTTTCTTTCTATGCCAATTAGCTAAAATTCTTCCCAATAAAATTGCCTCGTGATTGTCAGATCCGATTAGCTTTTCTCAGTCCCAAGTTCTCCCTGACTTCTCCGTAGCATTAACTGACCAGTCTTTCCTTCTTGAAATGCCAGATGTTCCATCAGTTCTGATTCCTTACTCTCTTTCTCCATTTTTTTTGGTGACTCCTAAAGTTCTGTCATCATCATCATCATCTCTTTTTATTACTTCTCTTGGTGATCTCAGGAACTAAACTTCCGTGCCTTTGACTATGATCTATGTCGGAATGACTTGCAAGTTATATTTTTGTTCCCAGCTTTTCTCCTGAGCTCCATCCCTAGATTTTCATCTTCTTTCTAGACATCTCCTCCTGTATGTCCAGTTGGCACCTTAAACTCAACAGTACTGAAACTGAACTTGTCACTTCTTTCTCATCTAGGTTTGAGGCACCTTTGCTTGTTTATTACTTATTTGCTCAGCTGCCTAGTAAAATTTTGTGTTTGTTAACACTTGTACTTATTTGGATTAAAGAGACAAGGTTTTTAGCCAAGAATAATATAGTTGTCACAGGCAGTAGACAGGAGCTGGTGGCCACATTTCAATCTGTCCTGCAGATCTGGTTGTCCGTTAAAAGTAATAAAGGAACACTTGCTTCACAGAGCATGATATGCCTCCCTTTCCCCCATACCCAAATAGCTACCAAGTTCTATTATTTATGCTTCCTCCATTTCTTGTACATTTATCTTTTAAGATTTCTTTTGCCAATAACTTTATTTACTTCAAGCCCTTGTTACCTAGTCTAGATAATTGCTACAGCTTCCTGAATAGTTTCCTGAATGTTTTCCTACTGGTTGGATTAATCTTAACTAAATCACCATTCTGATCACCGTGTCATATTGAAAAACCACAAATAGTTCCTCTTATGGAACAAAATTCAAACTCTACTTGGTGTTCAAGGCCCTCTGGATCCAACTTTTCTTTCCATCCATGTCTTGCCACTCTGTACTATGCACTTTCCCACTTCTGCCCTTGCTTGCTATAGCCTCTGCCTAGAATGCTTACTTACTACTTCCTAACTTCTTCTATTTGATCTTGGCCTGTCAAACTCCTAGCCATCCTGTGTCCAGATGCTACCTCTCTACAGACTCCCAATCATTGCAGCCAAAAAGTGATCTTTCTCTCCTTTGAACACTTACAGCACTTTGAACATCCTTGAAACAGTAAGAACAAACCTACCAACATTTCTTTTTGTGTTTGTCCTTCACTCTTTAAGAGGACCATGACATCAGGGAGATGATGACACGACTTGCAGTTGACTTTGATTTAAGTGAGTGAGGGCTGTGCAAGGTCACCAGCCTCACTTTCTCCTCCAGAGCCATCTGGGTCCAGTGGCAAGATATTCATTGATTGAAGATGGCCCGGGATACGATGGGAGACCCTGGCCCTTTTAAGCTAAGGTCTTTTCAAGTTTTCTCTTTGAGTGAGGTAATGCCCATTCAGTGAATAGGCCTCTTTAAGAAGTGAGTCAAGGGATGGCCCCTTTAATTAAAAAAAAAAATCAAACGGAGAGGAGAAGACTCTTCAGGGTTGCTGGCCAAAAGAGAAACAGTTACTATTTACATTGACTCTGAGCAAGGAGAGCCCCCATTAAATGGTGCTTGGGCAGGGACCTACTGTTGTCCAGTTTATGAGCTCCAAAGTGAATTGGGTTTAAGGCTTGGTTTTTGAGAAAAGAAAGCTGGCCAGGAAACTCCACAGAGGAGAAAGAGAGGGAGAGGGAGTTAGCATAGTCACTCTTGTATCACTTTGGTCTCTGGGAGATTAGCTCCAAACTTAGCTCAGTTCCTACATAACATTGGTCCCACCAAGTTCATGTCTAGGTACATCAGGATTGCTGGACGATTCATTCCACTAGGCAGGATTCCAAAAGGTCACTTGGCAAGCTCAGCCCTTGCTCATGGAGCATTGATGATTGATAATGTGCTGGCTGTAAAACTTGGCTGGCGTTTTGACTTTCGGATTCCTTGGCTCATTTTTTCACCAAAGGTGGGAGACTCCGCTTCCTTCAACTAGAACTGGATAGAATTAACAGAAAGGCCAAGGACCTAGGCTTGTTTCTCATGGGCCATAGGGTCACCTCCACAGGACACGGGAAGAAAAAGTCACCAAAGGAATGTACACATAAACCTTTTAGCTTATATTATAGATCTGTATACAGCGTATCTTTTCTACCAGATCTTAGGTCCCTGGATCATAAAAAATGAGAACCTCTTTATCTTCGTATCTCCCTCTTCTCACCAACATCCTCTTCCACAGTGGATTCTAAATAATCTTTTTTTTGAATGAATAAAACAATGTATGACTTATGAGTAATATCAAGAGTGCTAAAGGTTGATGACAGTGCTTCCTTATAATTTCATTTCAAACAATAACTTTTCATTTCCTTTATGTAAGTGTATCTTTGAAAGTAGTCATATATTTTTACTTAAAATTTATCTTTGATTCAAAAATGAGCGCTTTTCTTAGGCTGCAAAATTTCCTCACTCCAGTTTTCCCTCTCTCTCCCTCCTCCCAACCAAAATTTTTCAGTGTTTGGTCATGAATTCTTCTTGTCTTTGTCTCCTAGTCTCCCCTTAGGGCCATCTCCAGTCATCCTGATCTGTGTCTTGCCACTGGACCCAGAGGGCTCAGAAGGAGAAAGTGAGGCTAGTGACCTTGCACAGCCCTGCCTCACTTAAATCCAAATCACTTGCGTGTCGTGCCACCATTGTCCTGATGTAATGGTCCTCTTTGAGAATGAAGGACAAACAACAACCTAGTCGCCCCTTTCTGAATAAAGATTATTAATAAAGTGCTAACCCAATCTTATTGGGAAAGAGGAATGCCTATTGGCAGAAGGGAAAATACCTAGTTGGGATTACGTTATTTTAGTCTGGAAAAGACATTTGTAAATCCTTTAATTTAAAAGGTAAAACATTTTGATATGTCTTATCGTGATTGAATTTTATATGTGTATATACACACACACACACCCCCATATATGTGTGTGTGTATATATATATATTTTTTTTTTTCTCTTCCAAAACAGGTCAGTATATTTTAATCGTCCATTCTTGACACAAAAGAAAAGGAAAACACTGCGGTGAATGAAGAGTCCTCTACTTTTTAGCACTGTTTTTCTACTGTAGTTGGTCTTTGAATGAGGATGACAATGGAAGAGATGAAGAATGAAGCTGAGACCACTTCTATGGTTTCTATGCCACTATATGCCGTCATGTACCCTGTGTTTAATGAGGTAAGCTAGTCAGTGTTTTAAGGTATGACCATAATACATCCCATGTTAGCCTTTTATCTAGTGTTGGCCAGTGACAAAGCAGCCTAGGAAGAGGATACCTAGGAGGGGAAAAGGTACATCCAAGTGTAGATGCAGGGTTTTTATATATTAGAATCTCATCTCTCTGGACCAGATCACATCAGAATACCTACATTTGGTATAATTCAGGTATTCCAAGTACAGAATCAGAAGTTACCAACTTGCCCTTCCTTGTCTATCGCTTTGACTCTGTGAAGTAGGTATTAAAGGGGTCTTTATCCCTGTTTTACAAATGAGGACACTGAGGTTCAGGAAAGTGAAGCAATTTACTTAGTAAGGTCACAAAAGGGAACCAGCCATTGCTTCCAGGACCCCTGCACAGAGACTGCTAGAGACAGAGCAGAGACTTTTATCTGCTCGTCTTAGATAATAGGTGTACAAAAGGAGAAAAAATGCTGCTGGAAGACACGTGCCGAGTTTGTGACCTGGGAGAGACCTAAGATCCCATCCCCCTGCAGCCCCCTCATTTTACCAAGGAAGAACTGAGGGTCATGGGCTTTAAGTGACTTGTCCAAGGTCATCCAGGTCCTATGTGGGTAGGCTGAGATTTGAACATTTCATTGGAAGTTGGGGAAATCTTTCTCATTTAGAATTAGAAATATATATGCTGTGAGCCCTAAAACAAAATGATAATTAGCAAATGGTGAATGTTGTTGTAGAATTTGATCTTGGAATATTTTAGCTGAGTGTGTATTAATCTGGAAAGATAGAAAAAGCAAATCAGCATGGCGGATGTATGATATCTGATGTAGTAGGGATAGAGTTTACTGATCAAACTTCAAAAGTTTCCCTTTTAAATGTACCACAAACATAATTTGCACCTGCACAGTGTTCAGAAATGTTTGAAGACTTTCAGTAAGCATGAGGTATTTTTTTAATAGAGATAAAATCTGAGTCTAGTTTTAGAAGTGAAATAAATTATTATCATGCTTTCACATCAGAAATAACAGTTGGCTAGAAAGAATCTTGTTCTTACCCCACCTTGTGAACAGAACACCTTTTAATGGGTTATTCTTATCAGTTGTTAAAAGTTAATATTTAACTATGGTCCAAATATGCACTTTATATAAATGCATTGATATGGAAAATTAGCATTCAGTTCATTGTTTGTAGACAAAGGTGTAAAAATAATTATAGATTTGATCACACAATAAATTCCCAGCTGTGTAAGGAGTAAACTCATTTTGAATCTGAATCATTAATTGAATGGTCTCTGGAATGTGTTGAAAGAATTCAAATTCCATGGAAGTAGGTATTCACTTTCACATCAGGGGTGAGGTCTTGAGTAAGGTGGTAGCCTCTACTCTTATTGCCTTTTAAGAAATTCCTGGCAAATGGGACACACTAAGGAAGAGTTTTAGAGCTATTTACTCAGAATCACAAGTAAGAAGTATTTATGTCATGGAAATCCAACACGCACCAGATTCATTAAGACTATCACAAGGTAGTTGAAAAGTAAGCTTGGCTAATTAGCTATTGTAAAATACAGAGTTCTAAGCAAATTGCACGTACATATTTTATGAAATGGAGCTCAGGGTTACATTATGGATTAAAGAGATTCTTAGGTACCTTATGATTTGAGCTTAAATTAGAATCCTCTTGTCTGTTCCTTGAAGAATAACTATTTCCTTTCATCCTGATTAATTCCTTATTGCAGAAGAAGGGAGAAATATAGATCAGAGATACTTTCTTCCCCCCCCCCCAAAAAAAATAGACTGTACTTTCATTCCTATGCACTTTGGAGGGAACTGTTTTCAAGCTAGGTAAATATTGTTTTGAAATGGTATATTAATGAGATTTTAAGATTAAGCGTAGATTTGAAGTGATTAGAATTGATGTCCTTTATTTCATGTGATGTCCTGTTTACCTACAAATAGTATTTCCTTAATAGAAAACCAACAGCATTCCTTTTAGAAATACCTGGAATGTTGAATTTCTTAGTAGAAAAAGAGACATTGTGTTAAATTGGAAACACACTAGCTTTAGACTCAGCAATCTGGGTTCAAATCTTGTGCTTCTTGGCTGTCTCCTTTTTGACCTTGGACAAGTGAGTCATTCAAAAGGGGATTGCACTAGATTAACCCTAGACCTAGGATCCTGCAGGAAGAAAATTTTCAACCCTTGGTTCCTCTAAAAATGGCTTAATGAATAACTAGTAGTGACTTTTCTTTTAACTCAATTCTGTGTGTCTCATCTTTTTTTTTTTTTCCTGCTTAATACTTTCATAAAAGTTGGATGGACTTGCTGAACTTTGTATTTTACAGAAACAACTGTCTTGATGGGGCTATTTTAAAATTTTTACTAGCTAATGCTGCTTGCCTCACAATATACACATTATCTGAAGAGAAAAATTAAATTCACAGCTTCTCTGAAATACAAATAAGACGTGTATTTTATGTAACCTTTTTCAGAGTGTTTTTATACCTAGTTAACTGTTTACACGGGCTCCATGAACTATTTCTATTCCCATTTGACTAGCTTTCTGCTTAGAAGGACATAAGTCTTTGGGTAACACCCATTCACTTTCTTCTCCTTGCCTGTGTCTACAAACATCTTTCTGACTTGCCTCAGTCCATCCCATCTGAATCTTCATTCTGCCCTAAGCATCGATTCACACAATTTTGCCCAGGTCACTCCTGCACAAATAATTTACTAGAGGAAGGAGCATATGGGCTTTTTTGTTTGTTTGTTTGTTTTTTAATAAGGATATTTACCCACAGACCCCTGAGTTAGCTTTGTAGGTACTAGAACTTGTGGACAGAATATATCTGCCAGAAAGTTTTCATTAAAATTCATCAAGAATTGTGACTGAGGTTAAGAGAGGGAGATATTTTGATCCTAGATCTCCACCTGGCTTAGAGACCAGAAAAAAAAGCAGAGCAATAGAGGCTGCTCCCTGGATGGGTGGAACTGTGTAAACTGGGCTTTCCCTTTGAGGCTCATCCTGGGCTTGGGCCCATTTAACATTTTTACAAAGGATCTGGAAGAGCGTGGGCACAGTGAACTTTTCAAGTTTGCAGATATGACAATGAATGTTTGCAGATAGTGAAATGACAAACCAGCAGTGATAAAATGCAGGAAACTCTCAGAAGTGGGCAGAAGAGTAGCCCATGACTTGGTTGAATAAAATGAAAGATCCAGAGAAGGACATTAAATCGGCAGGCCATATTCAGATACTGTTGCTAGGCAGTGAGCAAAGACCAAGTGGGACTTACTCAGGGTGTTTGCAGTCTACTGGTAAGAAGCATGTACACAAAGAAGGAAAGGAGGGAACAAACATTTATTAAATGCTAACTGTGCACCCAGGCACTGTGATAGGAGTACAAATATAAGCAAAAAGAAACAGTTCTTACTCTCAGAGAATAGACATTCGAATGGAGGAAGACTGTAAACAAAAGGGAATTAATTCAAAAGTGAGTAGATGGGGAGTGAAGATACACTTCGGAGGGCATGGTTTGGAAGTCTGGAGGAGGTCAGAGATGGGCTCTGGAGGTGAGTGAAGGCAGACCGGCCTGGGCCTCTCTGGGGGGAACTACTCACCCAAGGGAGAAGGGGGAGGATTATGGGTGAGCTGCCCAGGTGGCAAGTTGTTTCAGGGCAAAGAGGCCCCAGGCCCTGAGGGGAGTTCCAGAATGAGCACGCACTAGCACAGTGTGGTTTTGAAGTCCAAAGGAAGTCAGAAAAATTTGGGGAATGTTCAGTTTGACATATCTGGGCAGGGAAATATATCAGCTGTTACGATGTAGCACTGGAGGTCAGGAGAGAGATTAGGTTTGGGATTTATTTATGTGAGGATGAGGCTAGACCCCATTGCAGCCGTTAAATTAAGACCTTTCTTCAAGGTCAAACGCAGTTCCTGACTTAGTCAAATGACCTCTAAAGTCCCTTCCAGTTCAAAAATCTGTAACCTTATGAACTTATTCCACAGTCATATTTCCTTCTTTTTAGAGTATTTATCTCCTCATCCTACCTGATAGCTTGTCTGCCAAGAAAGTTCTCTAAGCTTATTGATAGAGGCTGCATCTTTCTATCTCTTCCAGAGTACCCTTGCACAAGTCAGTCAGCAAGCATTTATTAAATACCTGCTGTGTACAGTTCCTACTCTCAAGGAGCTTGCACATAATAGTTCTTTGATTAATGCTTGATTGATTCTTTTAAGAAATTGTCACTGTTTATTAGGACAATAAGCTTTCTTTTCCAAACGGGGGGGGAATGATCACAAATTTCAATTTTCATAGGTTTATGCTGACCTTATACATAGCTATCAAAGAAGTTAAACTCAACAGTTTTCATGATAACAAAAGGAAAAGGAATCCTTGAAGCTTGAAGGAAGCTATGTAGGACCCAAAGAGGTACTTTACATAGTAGATAGCTTGTTTTATAGATAGAGATATCTTTGTTTGCATATTGCCTCCCTCATTTGGTTGTAAGCTCCTTGTCTTTTGCCTCTTTTTCTATTCCCAGCACTTCACACAGTGCTTGGCATGTAGTAGCAGCATAATGAATATTTATCGGCACACTATAAATCATAAGCAAAGACATCTTCCCCTTTTTTTGGTGAAATTCTCATTTGTGCTTCCCCCACTCTGATTGATTACAATATAATTCCTTGAAGAATAGGATATGTCAAGTTAATTTCATTTCCCTTTTTGACAGAATTACTAGAGAGGTGGATCATTGGAGAATGCTATAAAAATGGGTTATTTAGATTTTACAAACACTTAACAATCTCTTGTGCTCTCAGTGCCAGATAATAGAAAAATTAGGTAGACTTGATTAGTAGTTGGATGACTGGACCCACAGAGTAGGCATTAATAGTTCCATATCAAGTTAGTACTGTTTAAAATTTTACAGTACCTCGGGTGAAGGTATAGCTGACATTCTTGTCAAATCAGTAGGTAACAAAAAGCCACAAGGGATAGCCCGCACACTGACTGATCCGAAAAGGCTGTGGAGAGATTAGAACACTGGGCTCAATGTGACACAAATGCAGAGGTGACTGTTGCCAGGAAGGACTCCAGTTGGGATCCTCTTCACTTCAACCAGGGGACTTTTTCCTCCAGGCTCGTCCTTCTGTACCCTTCTAAAGGCTTTGACCCTGGTAATCGCTGTCCTTTTTGAGCCTCATTCTGCCCCCTAGCTTCTTGGAGACTGCTCTGCCCTAGTTTCTTTCTGACCTTTTTTTTTTTTCTTCACCCAGTTTTCTTATGCTTCCCTTTGTTTACTTTGTATTCTAGCCAAAGTCTACGATTAGGTTCCCTGTTCTCATCCTGTCCTCTCACTTTTATGCATTCCTACAGACAGGCCATCTTCCCATTGAATTATGAATACAGTAAAGTGATTATTGTCTTCTTTCCTTGGCCAGCATGTTTGGGCTTTTGTTGAACTTCACAGTATCTGTTAGTCTTGAGAGCTTGTAGATGCCCAGATTACAAGTTAAGAATGCTACATTATTTACAGGGAGATTAATAGTTTATTTTACTTACTTCGATGCTCATTTCTTATGTTTGGAGTCAAACATTTTCTATGCCTTGAGGGATTAATAATAATATTCATTGCACAGTATGAGATATACTCATGGCTTTTGTTGAAATGTTTTACTCTCTAAGACCTATAAAGGCAGCAGTATTTTCCAATACTTAATATTGTTCCAATAAAAACAGACGCAACCCAGTTTTGTTAACTTAACTAGATTCTTCATTGTCCTTAGGAGCATGAAAAACCTGCAGCCAGATGAAGTTGTTGGTTGTTTTGAAGTTGGTCATTATGCTTATACAGATGAAATTGTTTTTATAAAAAGAGTATATTATGTCATTTTTTTAGACATAATACAAAATAGAATCTGTCAGGCTTATGAATAAGCATAGTTATCCTGAAATTATGAATTTTATATTTGAGAGAATATATTAGAAATATCAGATTAATGTAAACTCATGATCCAGCCTGTTATGTCACTGTTCAATTCATTATTTATTAAGTACCTAATGTATGCTAGGCTCTGCAGGATACAAAGATGAATAGGATACTGCTTACACAAATACAATCAGCTCTTCTTTAACAAAATATGTACAGTTCCAAAAATCACTTTACTGTGCAAAATCACAGTGAAAAACCACAGGGCTTATGGGGAAAATGAGGTCAGGGGCATAATGCTTAAGTACTTACTGACACATTAAAAAAAGATACAGCACAGTTTCATACATGTTAAATGTTTAAGAGATATATAAATACTCTAATAGAAAGTGGCAATGTCTGTGGTCTCGGGGTGCTCCTCCCTGAGCCCTGGTTCCTACAGAGCCCAGGCTGGCAAAACCTTGCACAAGTTGAGCAGGCCTCAAATGAGGGCCAGAGGCCGTGGCAAAAGGTTGGAGGGGAGATGGTGTAGACCAGCCCTCCTCTGCCCACAGCTCCTGCTGCATCTGCAGATACACTGGAAATACAGCCCTTTACCTTGAAAAAAGACCAGAAGTTTGTTTATGAAAATGGAGATTGGAAGGGATACAGCTTATGAGTTATTGTGAAGTGGTGCAGTTTTCTGCGTTCTTGCTGTTTCTTGATAATGAAATCGTGTCTAAGCAAACAGGAAATTTGTGTTATGCTTTAATTGTTCCCTAATCAGTCACAGAACAAATTCATGTTTTCAAAACAAGTATTACGGCAGAACTAGCTGTACTGTAATTCAAAATAGAATGTAAAAAATTCTTTTGAGAGAAGTACCAAATGTGATAGAGAACCCAGAAGGGAGTGAAGTATATGTCCATAAGTAATGTGGATCTCTATCTCCTTTATCAGGGCTATTTGTAAACTAAGATAAAGGATTGTTTTGAATTTTACCTCTTTTTTCCCTTTCCATTGAAAAGCTAAAAAGCAGTGTCACAGGAGTAGTAGAGAGGTGAGAGGAGAAACCAGAAATATTAAGTAGTATTTTTTTCTTTCAATTTAGATCTGTGGCCCATGAGCATTTTGTCAAATATTTGGTCAGCAGAACTTTACCAGTAGCTACCAGATACTCCTCAAACCCAATGAGTTATTTAATTCTAACCCTGGCAGAAAGTAATTTTCCATGAACCAAGGAAAAGTGTTAGTTCTGCTAAAAGACTTTTCTCCTTAAAATGTATGAGATAGAATATAATTTTCTAACAGAAGTATAGAACACTTGGCCAAGCATGTTGGTTTTAAATTAAAGGACAGATCTAAAACTTTATTAGTTACAAGTTAAATATTTATCCTTTATTTTAAAATATTAATAAAGAAAAAAGGTTTATTATCTGTAATTCTTGGTGACTCTCTGATGACAATTTTGTGTAGATAAGCTGTTGATTCAGTGCCCTGTTGACAATTTAAAGACATTGACAAGAATTGTTGCTAATTGAATTATGGTTACAGCAAAGTGATTACTGTAGAATTAAGATTCAGATAGGTCACATATGCTCTCTTAAATAAATTGGCATTACTAATGACTTTAAACTTTTATTACAGCTAGAACGAGTAAATCTGTCTGCAGCTCAGACACTGAGAGCAGCTTTCATCAAGGTGAGAAGCTCATAATTTATTAGAATGATTAAAATAAGTTATTTATGAGTTAAATCCATTGCATAATCATTGCTGACTTTCCCTTTTAATGAAAAACCTTTTTGCCTTTGCTTTGGACTTCACTACAGAGGGGGAGGGAAACAGAAGGACAATAGGATTTTAAAGCCTTTCTCTCCTTCATTAACTCTTCATTGTCCTGCCACCTAGTGCTTTAGGTGTTGGTTTCTTTTCAATGTTTCTCTCCTTAAGGACATTGGGTATATTAGTGATTATTATCATGATTTGAATGGAAACAATTTCTTTGCAGAATTACATCACAGAAGACAATGGTCTTTGACAGTGTTTACTAAAAGGCAATGGTTTGTTAAACTCCAAAACTGTTTTAAGTGGGAAAGAAGATCAGTGTTTCATTAGCCTAAGGACATTTTTAGGGTTTGTGGTGTGGAAGGACAAAATCTGTTTTCTCTCCCTCTCACCACCACCACTACCACCAAAAAAAAAAAAAGAAGAATAAATGAAAATTTCTTTTAACAAATATGCATAATTAAGCAAAACAAATTTCCCCAATGTATGTACACAAAAATGCATATGTCTTATTCTGTACCCTAAATCCATCACCTTTGTCAAGAGGTAGATAGCATGTTTCATCATTATTTCTCTGGAATCATAAGTGGCCATTGTGTTTATCATTCTTACATCTTTCAGCATTTGTTGATACACTATTGTTGTCATTGTATAAATTGTCCTAGTTCTGCTCAGTTATTTTTTCATCACGCATTTTTATAATATTGATATTATATAAATTTTTCACCTGGTTTGCTCACTTCATTCTGCTACAATTCATAAAAGTCTTTCCATGTCTTTTTTGAAACCATCTCTTTCCTCTTTTAGTACAGCATACTAACACTCTAGCTCATTCATATCCTGCAACTTATTCAGCCATTCCTCAATTGTTGGACATCTCTTACTTTCCAGTTTTTTGCCACTACAGAAAAGATTACTGTTTATATTGTCTTTATTTGCATTAAGTAAGCTTGTCATTGGGTATGACACTTTACCGTTCTTCAGGTTGGTGTGATTTTCAAAGTAATATATTGATTAAAATTATATCAAGTTTTCATTTGGATTCAGGCACATCATATTTCACTAATGACTATAAAATCATCCAGATAAATCTTTTTTTTTATGGTATATCAAATTGAGTTCTTGATATCACCAAGTGGCTTGCCTTATTATCTCTTCCCACAAGTCCATTTAAATTAAATATAATGTTTTAAAATACTGGATTTTTTAAAAAAAATACTTAATATATCAAAAGGCAAAGATGCAATTAATCTTAAAGGGTCATAAAGTCGTATACATTTTAGATCTTAGAAAGAATCTTAGAAATCAGTCATAGAAATGTCCGTGGATTGGAGAATGGCTAAACAATTGTGATAGATAAATGTAATGGAATATTTTTGTGCTATAAAAAATGATGAATGAGGTGAATACGGAGTAGTATGGTGAGATCCACCGGAAACAATGCAGTGAAGTCAGAGCCAAGAAAACACTTTGCACACCGATGGCAACAATGTGAATGGACAGAACAGCCACACATAAGGAAACCAAAGTGAATGCAGTCAGATTCTAAAGCTCAATCAGGACTCAAAAGAAGAGATAGGAGAAGAGACTACCAACCCCTGCCCCTTCCTGGACATGAGAAATCCATAGCTGTTGCACGTGTTTTAAAGTCTTCAATGTATTTAATTGACTATGCTAATTTTTTTTTTCTGTTTTTTGGTTGGGGGAATTTAAAAAATATTTATAGGATGGCTTAGACATTGATTAAAAAGTTTTTTTTAAAAAATTATTTCTTCATGATTGCAAGTGTGCCATCATGTGATAAAATCTCAGAATGCTGTTTTCCTGTTGTGGATAGTGTATTGACTGTAATTTTCTCTAGAAATTGGCATGACCTTAGCTGTGACTTTACAACCTTGTATTACCATCCCTTTGGTTCATATGCATTACCAATTTAGAACAGAAAGACATCTTGGAAATCATTTCAACCAGGGATTCTTAACCTGGGATCCATTAATTTTTTTTTTTCTAATGCTGATAACTGTATTTTAGTATAAGTGGTTTACTTTGTCAGCCTGTGCATTTAAAAGCATTATTTTGAGAATGGGCTCAGAGGCTTAGCCAGGCTGACCTCCAAAGGGCTCCATGTCACAAAAAAAAAAGTCTTAGAAAACACCAAACTAGAGTCACCCTTTCATTTTAGATGAAGACGCTTTGACCCAGAAAAATCAAATGATTTGTGTCTGTTTTTTTCCTCTTAGGCATTTTACCTTAACTAGGATAACTGTTGCCTGATGCTTAACGTTATACCAGAATTCTGGCTACTTGTAGCTATCCTGTAGACTTTTCCCCGGTGTGGGAAATGTTATGATGGATATAGCATTATTTTGCTACTATATCACTGTTGAGTAACTGATTTTTCAGGAGACTTAGACATTATTCTCTATAAAAAGAAGATGGACCACAATCTAAAAAGTAATAGCCCATGATAGTAGTGCGTTGTGAATGCAATGGTCCTATGTAGCTGACTGAATTGGTAGTAAGAAATTGTCTTAACTTATACTTCGTGGGATCGTCTCTCTTTTTGGAGGGGAGAGAGGACTAGACCTGTGATTTCGTTTCAGGCAGTTCCCAGTAAGGAAACTCCCTCTGCTAGTGCAGATGACATTTGTTCTGCAGCTTATAGTGTTTCCCAGTTGTTGGAGCACTAAGAAATTCAGTAGGTAGCTCAGGATCACCAACTCAGTTTTCTTGCAGCGCTAGAGCTCAGGCAATGCTGACGCTGTGGCCTGTGATCTATTCCCTCTGCCCTTCTGCCCTTCATGGTCTTCACAGTGATAGCCCACATTTATATAGAACTTTAAAAGTTTACAGAGGGTTTAACATGTTATCTCATGTGAGTCCCACAGTCTCCTTGGGAAATAGGTGCCGTTATCAGAGGAGGAAACTAGGCCTCAGGAAAGTTGTTCACCCATTTCAGTCATGTCTGACTCTTCATGCCCCCATTTGGGGTTTTCCTGGCAAAGTTCCTAGAGTGGTTTGCCATTTTCTTCTCCAGCTCATTTTGCAGATGAGGAAACTGAGGTAAACAGGGTTAAGTGACTTGTCCAGGATCATACAGCAAGTGTCTGAGGTCAAATTTGATCTCAGATCTTTTTGACTCCAGGCCCAGTGCTCTAAGCACTTCGCCACCCAGCTTCACACTAAGGTTACACAACTAATATGTGTATGAAATGGAATCTCAGCCCAGTGTTTAATTTTTTTTGCTGGTAGAAGACTTTAGAAGTCATCTAGTCCAACCTGCTCATTTAATCCATGAGTACTACAAAGCCTAAAGAAATTAAGTGGTTTACTCTTGCTATCCAACTAGGAAGTATCAGAGGTCTTCAGACTGTTACTCTTCCTATTACACAATGTTGCCTCTCATTAAAAAGGATCTCTTGTTTAAGGACAGTCTTTTATATAGAGATAGATAAATGGATATGGATCTATATTAATTCCTATCTATACACAGGCTGTCCCAAAAAGTCTTAGTGCAGTTTTAGTCTTTATTAGTTTAAAAATACACTAAGACTTTGGGGACAGCCTGGATATAAAGAGATATAGGTAGTGTTAGGAGTATAGGTCAATGCACATACCATGGTTAGCAGAATCCAGTAGAGCACACTTTATGCTTGCTTATCTTCTATCAAAATGAGTTAGCAGAAGCTATAGCATTTGATAGCATTCCATTTCTTGATTGAAACAAATGTAAACGTGTATTCCTTATTTCAGTCTACAACCTTGAAGTGTGTGTTTCCTGCAGTTTTAATATAAAACTAAAATACCATATTGCTATAGGTGCTGGGGGAAACTGTTCTTGATGACATCAGAGCTAAATTTAAGAGGTTAAAGTATACTTGACATAAATAGAAGCAAGAAAGATTGCCTTCTGATTAAGATCATAAATTTATGCCTATCTTGGCCACTTTATACAAAGATAAGGACATGACCAGTGAGAAGTATTAAATTGGCAGACATCCCTGGAAGAAACAGTAAACCTAAAGTGTGACTTTTAAAAGAACCCAAAAAAAAAAAAGAGCAGAAAAATAGGGCCTAACTTGGATGAACTTAAAACTTTTTATGATCAGATTTAGAATGGCAGGAAGATTTTGTTGCCTTAGGGAGGATAAGGAATAGCATGTGACCTGAAAGTTCATCAATGAGACATTCTCAGGCAGTAGTCAGAGATTGTAGTGATAATCTGAAAGCCAGACAAGCAAATGGTATTCTCAGGACAGAAACAGCGTGAGAAATGGAAATGACTGTGGGAAAGTAGTTAGGGATTCTATTACTCCAACAATATCTTTAGAAAATATTCTGTGTCATTTTCTGAAATTGTTAATAGTGGACGTTGAAATATTGGAAAAACTCTAGAGATAAATGCCACCGTGATCCTTAATCAAAATACAGGCTAGAAAAATTGTATAAATTAGGGGGGAAAGGGTATCAAGTCAGAAGTAGAAGACTTTTTGTTTTCATTCTTCGAGAGTATAAGTCAATATTTTTTCTCTCAGGTAGAAAATGGGTGGGTAACGAGTGAAAAGTTGCACTGATGCAGAAACAATGGTAAAACTCCAGAAATGATCGCTATCTTGATAAAAGGGCTACAGTTGAGTCTAGTGGTTATCTGGTGGACTTCAGAAAGCCTGCCCAGTCACGCAGACAAATTGTACCTAAAAGCTCAGACTTGGCTTCAAAGTGCTCATTTGTTTTCTCTGTTTCAATTTTAACTTTCTCCTTGATCTAGGCTGAAAAAGAAAACCCAGGTCTCACCCAGGACATCATTATGAAAATTCTGGAGAAAAAAAGCGTAGAAGTTAACTTCACAGAATCCCTTCTTCGTATGGCAGCTGATGATGTAGAAGGTATCAGATATCAGAACCTATGTTTATAATTTTGTGCCTAGAAATTGCTGAATAGCATTTCCCTAAGAGTAATGAATCAAAAGAGACTTGATTCTTTGGAAAAGAAGCTATGTGGAATTAAAAAGAAAACAATTAAATTTTTAGTTGAGACATTTACCATATTAATGCTTTTTCAATCACTGAACTATTAGCAAAGTTCACTAAAAGATAACATATAGATTTTTGTTAAAACTTAGCTATTTAATAGAACAATTAAGTTCTGAACTTGCCCTCATAAGAGGGGATTTTTTTTCCCTTTTTGTTTTTATTAATTTATTTTTAGTTTTCATTTCCATAATTCACTTCCATAAGCTTTTGAGTTTTAAATTTTCTCCTCCTCCCTCCTCATTTCCCTCCCCAAGATGGCGTGCAATCTGATACAGGCTCTACATATACATTCCTATGAAACATATTTTCACATTAGTCATGTTGTAAAGAAGAATTAGAACCAATGGGAGGAGCCATGAGAAAGAAAAAACAAAACAGAAGAAAAAAAAAAGCAAATAGTATGCCTCGATCTGCATTCAAACTCCGTAGTTCTTTCTTTGGATGCAGATAGAATTTTCCAGCATGATAGATCCTTGTATTGCTGAGAGTCTATCTAACGTGGTTGTTACTATGTACAGTGTTCTCCTGGTTCTGCTCACCTCACTCAGCATCAGTCCGTACAAGTCTTTTGAGTTTTTTCTGAAGTCTGCTTGCTCATCGTTTCTTATAGCACAATAGTATTCCATTACATTCATGTACTACAACTTGTTTAGCCATTCCCCAGTTGTTGGGCATCCCCTCAATTTCCAGTTCTTTGCCGCCACAGAAAGAGCTGCTATAAATATTTTTGTACATGTGGGTCCTTCCCCATTGGTATGATCTCTTTGGGATACAGCCCTAGAAGTGCTATTGCTGGGTCAAAGGGTATGCACATTTTTATAGCCCTTTGGGCATAGTTCCTTCTCCAAAATGGTTGGATCATATCACAACTCCACCAACAATGCATTAATGTTCCAATTTTCCCACATCTTCTCCAACATTTATCATTTTCCTGTTTTGTCATGTTAGCCAATCTGATAGGTGTGATGTGGTACCTCATAGTTGTTTTGATTTGCATGTCTCTAATCAATAGTAATTTAGAGCATTTTTTCACATGACTATAGAGGGCTTTAATTTCTTCATCTGAAAACTGCCTGTTCATATCCTTTGACCAGTTATCAATTCAGGAATGACTTGTGTTCTTATAAATTTGACTCGGTTCTCTATATATTTTAGAAATGAGGCCCTTATCAGAGAAACATTGTAAAAGTTCTTTCCCAGTTTTCTGCTTCCCTCCCAATCTTGGTTTCTTTGGCTTTGTTTGTGCAAAAACTTTTCCATTTACTGTCATCAATGAGGGGATTTCAATGTACTTATTGACTCTCCTCTCAAACACCCTTAACTGTTCAGCTCTTCAACTGGTCGTTTCCCTTGACATACTCCTCCATCCTCCCTCTTCCACATGCAAAAATGGTCATATCCATGCTCTTGCCATCACCTCTGTATTCAAGAACTCTGAATTCCCCTTATCTAACCATAATCAGGCTTTCTACCTCTTGTTCTGCTTTCCCTTGCAAAACCCTGCTCTGTGTCTACACAGTGACCTCCAGTCCCTTGACCCCTCAGTTATCCCCCAGATCAGCACTTGTGTGCTAGCCAGTCTCTCCTCTTTTCTCTATCTTGAACCTTTAGTGAACCAGGCCAACTTTACACTTCAGTCCTTGGCCCTCTTATCATATTGCTGATCGCACCCTGCCGAAGCTCTCCTTGGATCACTCCCACCATCTACTATCATAGAATACAATGTGTGATTTTTGTGTGTTTTTGAAAAACAAAATAGTGTAATTGTCTGTGATTGTGACAAAGTTGAAATTCTCTCCATATATTCTTAAAACATTATCTTCCATACGTGAAATCTTATAGGCAGGAATTTATTGGTCAGTTGGCAATGGCAAGGGGTTTAATACTACAGTGACCCTTTCATGGGTCCAAGGGCGAATACTCTGCTGAAATTAACTTTTTTCTGTTTAGTCAGGCCTGTCTTCTGAAGTTCCTATTTTGGGGAATTAGCATAGTCGGGTTTGTAAAAATAAATTTTGACCAGAGGTATATAACAGCTTCAGCGCAGACTTCGGCATTATTTAGTTTAGTCATTGAAACGTTAATGGCGAATTTAATAGTAATGGCCAGTTAAATTCTTGATCTGTCTCACTTGCAATTCAAATAAATATGGATTTTTACATTTTAACTGTGATTCACTACATTGCAATGTCCCTGAGTCCAGGCCTGGCATCTTTTCCTGTTGTATTGTACATCTTATATAAGATGGCTTTCTAATGAAGCTATTCATGCAACTGAAGAGGGACCTTTTATGTGCAGAGTGTTATTCTTGGCACTGAGATACAGAGGGATAGTTGCTGCCCTCATGGAAGCACGTCTATTGCTGTGATATGATGCTAATACAAATAACCCTAATAAAAGTAATACGCAAGTGCTTAAGATTGTTATGTAATCAGTGAAAACCTCATAGATGTGTTTGCGTTAGAACTGAGGTTTGATGGATGAATTGGATTTCTTTAGACACAGAAATGGGGAAGGTGGCATTCCAAGCATAATGTTAAAACACACAAGCCCAAGTACGGAGGCACACCATTGGCCTTGATGTATAGTCCAGTGTGATAAAAGTATAAAGCCTGGAGTGTGGGATGAGCTTGGTGAGATCAGGTGTCATCAGGTTGTGGCAGGCCTTAAAGGACAGAGTGAGGAGTGGACCTGGTTTAACTTGTGTAGAGGTGTGTCATGATCATATCTACATCAAGAAGGCTAATCTGATATCAGTACAAAAGAGAGTTTCAAGGGAGATGGAGTTGGGGGGTGGGGAGGGTGAGACAGTAAAGCAGGGATTAAAAGTAAGAAAAGAAATGAAAACTGCAAGAAAATAATGAATAGAGAATTAGCATCTTGGTGAAATAAACACAAAAAAGTACTGAAGAAAACACCTTTAAAATTAGAACTGGAAAAGTAGAAGCTAATGACTCCATGAGACATCAAAAAACAATAAAACAAAAGTCAAAATAATGAAAAAAAAGAAGAAAATGGGAAATATCTCATAGGAGAAACAACTGACCTAGAAAATGGAGATAATTTAAGAATTATTGGTCTACCTGAAAGTCATGAACAAAAAGTGTCTTGACATATTTCAAGAAATTATAAAAGAAAACTGCCCAGATAACTTAGAACCAGAGAACAAAATAGAAATTGAATATATAGGTCATCTGCTGAAGTAAATGGCAAATCCAGAACTCCCAGTTTAAGGAGATAATACTGCAGTTAGCCAGAAAGAAAGAATTCAGATACTGTACAGCAGCAGTCAGAATCACACAAGATTTAGCAGCAACCGTGGTAAAGAATCAGATAGTTTAGAATTTGATATTCCAGAAGCTAAGGAGTTAGGATTACAACCAAGAGTAACCTACCAGCAAAACTGAGTATAATTCTACAGAGGAAAAAAATGGATATTTAATGAAACAGAGAAGTTTCAAGAATTCCTGATGACAAGACCAAAGCTAAACAAAAAATTTTACATTCAAACACTCAAGAGTAGCATAAAAAGATAAACATAATTGAGAAATCATAAGGAACTTAATAAGATTAAACTTTTTGCATTCTTACATGGGAAGGTGATACATTTAACACCTAAGAACTTTATCATTAATCATGTAGCAGTTAGTAGAAGGCTACATAGAGGGTATGGATGTGAGTACATTATGTTGGGATGATCTTGAAAAAGAGATGAAATGGTGAGAAAGATTCACCAGGAGAAGGGGGACAAGAAGGGAAGAATGGGGTAAATTATCGCGCATAAAAAAGACACACAAGAATTTTTACAGTGAGAGGAAAAAATGGGGGTAGAGAGTGGGCAACATTTGGACCTCACTCTCACCTGAACTGTTTCAGGGATGGAAGAATATTTATATAGATACAGCTGAATGCAGAAATTAATTTTATCAAGACAGGGAAGTTTGGAGGGAAAAAGTATTAGAGAAAAAGCGGTAGGAAAAGGGATAAGAGGGAGGGTGGATTAAGAGAGGTGTAGTGGTCAGAAGCAAAACAGGGAGGGGGGGGACAGGGAATAAAGAGAAGGATAAATAAAAGATAATAGGGTGGAAGGAAATGTCCAACAATCATAATTGAATGTGAATGGGATGAACTCACCCACAAAATGGAAAGAAATAGCAGAAGGGTTTAAATAATAGAATCTAACAATATATTGTTTACAAAAGACACTTGGAAAGAGATAGCAAAAGAGTTTAAAAAGTAGAATCCAACAAAATATTGTTTACAAAAGACACACTTGAAACAGAAGGACAAAGAGTTAAAATAAGGGGCTAGAGCAGCATCTATTATGCTTTAACTGAAGTAAAAAAGGCAGGGGCATCAGAACTGAGAATCAAGAGGTCAAGAGTATCAAGGGAATCAATATTAAAAAAAAAAAAAAAAAAGCAAAGGAAGGGGAATCTAGCCGTACCGGAACTCAAACTCTACTACAGAGCAGTAGTCATCAAAGCAATTGGATATTGGTTAATAGAGCAGTTGATTGATGAAATAGATTAGGTACTCAGTATACAGAAACAGATGAACACAATAGCCAAGTGTTTGAGAAACCTAATGATCCAGACTTTTGGGGCAGAAACTCAAATTTGACAAAATCTTCCTGGAAAACTAGAAAGTATTCTGACAAAAACTAGGCACAGACCAACATCTTACATCTTATACCAAGATAAGGTCAAAATGGATAAATGATTTAGAAATAAAAGGTGACATAAGCAAATTAGAGGATCATGGAAGAAATTACTTGTCAGATCTGTGGATAGTGTGAAAGTTCATGACCAAACAAAAGATAGACATGTTCACGGAGATAAAATAGATAATTTTGATTACATGAAATTAAAAAGGGTTTGCATAAATAAAACCAATACAGCCAAACTTGGGGGGGGAAAGCAGGAAACTGGGGAAATAATTTTATAGTAAGTTGCTTTGATAAAGGCCTATTTTTCAAATATATAGGGAATTGAGCCAAATTTATAAAATGCAAGCTATTACCTAATTGAGAGGAAGAAATCACAACCCTTAATAGTCATATGAAAAAATATTCTAAATCAATAATATTTAGAGAAATGCAAATTAAAACAACTCTGAGATACCACCTCACACTCATCAGATTGGCATATATGACAGAAAAGGTAAATGACAGATGCTAGACGGGATGTGGGAAAATATGTATACTAAAGCACTATTGGTGGAGTTGTGAACTAGTCCAAACATTCTGGAGAACATTTTGGAACTGTGTCCAAAGGGCTATAAAACTTTGCATGCACTTTGACCCAGCAAAACCACTCCTAGGTCTATACCCCAAAGATATCAAAGAGAAAGGAAAAGGACTCATGGGTATAAAAATATTTATAGCAGCTCTTTTTTTGGTGCAAACAGTTGGAAACTGAGAGGATACTCATCAGCTGGGGAATAGTCAAACAAGTTATAGTATATAAATGTAATGGAATACTATTGTATTCTAATAAATGATGAAGAAAGTAGTTTCAGAAAAACCTGAGAAGACTTATATGAACTGATGCAAAGTGAAGTGATCAGAATCAGTAGAACAGTGTACACACAGCAATATTGTAATGATAGTAACTGTGAAAAACTTAGCAACTTTGATTAATACAGTGATCCATAACAATTCCAGAGGACTCATGATGAAAAATGCTATCCATCTCCAGCTAGAGAACTGATAGGAGGAAAATAAAAAAAAAAGAGAAAAAAAGATCTGTTTAGCCATCCACAGTGGAAAAATAAGAAAGGAAAGGGCATGGTAAATACTGTGTTTGATTGACGATATTTATTAAATGCCTGTTATACGCAAGGAAGATACCGTACCTGGTTTTAGGAATACAGATGAAAAAATCAAACAGTTCCTGCCCTCCAGGAGCTTACATTCTGCAGGAGATGGTAGTAAAATGTCTATAAAGAAATTCAAATCAGTTTGGCATCCAGCTCCTGCATTGAAGACTTAAGTGTTTCCATTTCTCAAGAGTCACGCAAAGACCCTAGTATTATTTTGTCATATTGATTACATGTAGATTCATTTTAACTGGTTGCAGATTTTAAGGAGATTTTTGACAAATATTGCAAAGAGGTCAAGGAGGGTCAGAACTAAGGAAACTCCATCAAGGTTAATGGTTAGTACCCCATAAAGGGAAATAGTTGTGACAGAATTGTAAGGACAAAAGCCAGTCTGCTATTTCTAGAAATTTAGTGGTGCAAAAAAAAAAAAAGAAGAGATGTTCAGGAGATTTGTAGACCCTCTGCATGCATTGGAGATAAAAGTGCAGTTGGGTAGTGAAAATGGGAAGATGTTTAGAGCAGGCATTTCAGAAAATGAAGTGTGGAAGGATTGTCTCAAAATTGTAAAGGTGTGGCTGAGATCATAGGATCACACCTTTCTAGTGGGTAGAATAATGACTTTGTTAATGATGCTCAGCAGCCTTAGAACAGGAGAGAGGAAATCAGATAGTGGGTTTCTGCTTAGGCTTGGCTTGGCGCATTTGGTATCAACAGCGGAAGACAGGGAGGTGAGGGATTTGACAGTGGCAGCTTGTGAATCATGAAGGTGGCCACCTATAGGGACAGGCCAGATGTAGAAGAGATAGGCTGAGAGGCGACAGAGGGATCATCAGTCATGATGAGGGAAAGAAGGAGTATGGTGGTCAAGAGAGGTGGGAGGTTAAGAAGTTGTATTCACAAATGGTTAGGTGTCTAATGTGGGCCTGAAGTGTGGTGTGGAGGTGGAGATCAGGAGTTCATTCCACTGGAATTAATGTATTCCAGGGATTAGAAGGAATAAGATTGGATTAAGTGTTTGGATTGAATTTTCTGTATGCTTTTGAATCCAAATGGAACTAACTTCTTTGAAAGCCTAGATATTTTGTATCCCCATGTGCATGTGTGCTGAATTTTTTACTGACCACAGAGTTTGACTTGCTGTCCATAATAAAATAGGAAATAAAGTATATTCTTACTTTACAATGGGAAAATGCTACCATGTTTCTCTGAGAGACTGCTCTTCTGATAATAGTTCCTAATGGGATTTACTTAGAATCTTTTTCATTTAACTTCTTTTGAGTTGAGAATTAAATTATAACTGAGCTCTTTTTAAAAAAATCTTTTTCAGTTAAGAAAAATCTGTTTTTTCTCTCTTCTCCATTGTGGAAAAAGCATGAACCAAGCCCTGGTAATAAATATGCATAGGCAACCAAAAAAAAATTTCCTTATCCCATTATGCCCAACAATATATGTCTCATTTTGCACCTTCAGTCCCTCACCTCTCTGTCAGAAGATGCCTAGCATGTTTCATCAGTCTTCTGGGGTTGTGGTTGATTATTGCATTGATCAAATTTCTTATCTTCCAAAGGTTTTTTTGTTTATGTTTTTCTTTGCAGTGTTGTGGTTATTTTACCACATTTTCCCTCCACTACCTTATTGGTCATTTTTTGCCCTTAAGATTTTTGCACTTTGGCCAATACAGATTTTAAGTCCTAAGACTTGAAATGGACCTGGAGATGCTTGATGTCTTGTTTAACATTTATTTTATCAGAGTATATGATCGAGAGACCAGAGCCTGAATTCCAGGACTTGAATGAAAAGGCACGAGCACTTAAACAGATTCTCAGTAAGATCCCCGATGAGATCAATGACCGAGTGAGGTTCCTTCAGACAATCAAGTAAGTATTGTTTTGCATTTCATTGGAGCAGTCCTTGACTATTTTCATTTTATTACGTGTTAAAATTGATAGTTTTTAAAAGATGATTGTCAGACTGTTGTTCTATTCCAAATTACTGTGTTTATCTCCAGGTTTGTTAAATACGAGGTTTGAAAACATGACAGGATGAGACATTGTTGTTAAATCATGCACATTAATAATTATACACATACAATGGGAAGACTTGGAAGGTAGGTGAACGAGCAGTGCTGCAGGGCATGGAGGAAAGTTAGTTTAATGAAGAAAAGCAAAGAGGTTCAATTTAGTTCGCCAAGAGCAAAGAAAACATGGAAGACTGAGTATAGATCAAAAGAGGGAACTCAGGATGCCTTTTTGGATGTCCATCCTGTATGCAGAGAAAAAGAACCAGTAAAAGTCTTGAGATTGTGCCGGATAGGTCATGGAGGAAAGAGTGGATGTGTGGTCAGAGGAGCCAGTCTTTGGCTCTGCCAACTGACTGTGCTGGTGGCCCTCTTGGTCAATGCACAGTCTCTCAGGGCCTCGGTTTCCTCATCTGTAAAATGAGGGGCACAGCTTAACTGATTTCTAACTTCCTTTACAGTTCTAAATCCTGTGGACAGAAATCCATCTTCAAGTATTTGAAAAGCTGTCTTGCATCAGAGGAATTAATCTTGTTCTGCTTGGCCCCAGGGGGCGGAAAGCAAGGGGTGATAGAGTTTCAAAGTGAAATAAACTGCCTGTGAGTCTTCCTGCATTCGGAATGACTTATGGGTAGGACTTATGTAGGAGGGAATTTTTGTTCAGATATGTGTTAGACTAGACATTCCTGGGGGCCTCTCCTGGTGCTTAGGCACTAGGGGCAGAGGGTTTTAGAGGCTGCGGCCTAATGCCTGCGTGGAGATCTTAGATTTTAAAAAGCTAGAGGTTACGGACAGGAAGCAGGGAATATAACAATACCAGCAGTCATAATAAGGCTCACATTTACAAAGGAATATAAGGTTTGCAAAGCACTGTTTGTAAAGCACAGATATTCTCGTTTTTTCTTCACCACATCCCTGGGAGGTAAGACTATTATAATGTCCATTTTACAGATTAGGAGTCTGTATGAAAGCGCTTAAGTGACTTTCAGTGTCTGTGGCCTGATTTGAACTCAGGTATTCTGACTCTAGGATAACCATCTATTTAGAGATATGGGAGACTTAGAAGTTATCTGTTCTCAGCCCCTCACTCTCCTGGTGAGGAAACTGAGGCCCCCTGAGGTAGAGTTTGATTAATGTATTATTGGTATTAAGTGATAGAGCCAGTATTTGAATCCCAGCATCCAGCACCCTTTCTGTTACTCCAGACTGTATCCCATTGTGGAAGATTGAGCCTAGGGGTAGGGTTGGGCTTAAGTTTTGGTTTTTATTTTAAAATTTCAAGACTTAAAAGCTCTTTTCAGCCTGTGTATCATTTTGAAATTAAATATTAGGAAATTTGATATGCAGAGTTAACATTATTTTGCCTACTGACTTGCCACTGGACTGTGATGACTGGAGGAGAGAGTGAGGCTGGTGACTTTGCGCAGCTCTGCCTCACTTAAATCCAGTTAGCTTGCAGGTCAAGACATCACCCTCCTGATACCACTGGTCCTCCTCGGGAATCACAGACAAGCAACAACCACAACAACATTTTTAGGGATTTGAATCGATATCCTTTGTTTCTTAGGAATTCTTGTTAGCCTGGAAAGAGTTTCACCACCGACCTGTGATTTCATTGGCGTTCATTGGAGTTCCAAAATAAGGAACTCCATCAGCCAACGCAGGTCAGCACCTTCCCTGCAGGTCACTGAGAGGGTAAGGGCAGTGCAGAAGTGAGCTATTCTTTCTGCCCCAAGGCCAGTTCTCTATTCACTATACCCACTGTCTTTCATACTTAGAAATGTTTCCTTTATTAATAGAAAGTTAGTATCATTCCATTTTAAAATGCCTAAATTGTTTTTCTTCACAAAGAAAGAGGCATTATAGTATGTGGAAAGAGCTGGCTATTCAAGGGGTTCTGAATCTTTGTGGTGCCTTGGGCTCCCTTTGCCAGTCAGGGGAAGGCTCTGGACCCATTCTTAGAATAATGTTTTTAAATGCATAAAATAAATTACAAAAGATTACAAAGGGAGCCACTTGTGTTGAAATAGAGTCAGTGGAGTATTTCTTTAAAAAAAAAAACCCACAGGTACCAGACCCCAGGTTAAGAACCTCCATCTTAAAATTAGAACAGGTGCTTTTCTGTCCTGATACAGCATATAGGCTGTTCTATAATGGGGCCTTAGTTCTGAACACTTTCTCAAGACTGACATTTTGCTATCTGTCTTTCACATATCATAATACAAATTTGGCCTATCAGTGAATATATTTGGTGTTTAACAATAGGGATGGGTTACATGAGCATGTCACTGGCTGAAGCTGGTGGTCTTAGTCTGTGAAATTTTTATTTATATAGCCACAACATAGAATTGAAATCTCATTCCTGGTCCCCTAAACAACATGCTCTAACCAGCTGAGAAATCTGAAAATTGTTTTTTTTTTGTTGTTGTTGTTTTAAGTGAGGCAGTTGGGGGTTAAGTGACTTGCCCAGAGTCACACAGCTATGTGTTTGAGACCACATTTGAACTCAGGTCCTCCTGACTCCGGGCCGGTGCTCTATCCACTTCACTACCTAACTGCCCCCAAAAATTCTTAAGTAGCAATTGATAAACACTTTTGTTGAGGGTTATAAGGTTTCAAATGATAAAAAAAGAGAGATCTTTTTGTTTAATCTGTCAGTCCCCTTCCTGTTACAAATGAGGAAACCAAGGCCCACATACCAGATAATTATAACTGGAATTTCAGCCCAGGACTCTTTCTACAACACATACTATACTGAAAAACCTATTGATGTTTTCATAGGGTGTTTGTTTCAGGAAATATTTAAACCTAGAATTTTTCATTTCTTTATAAAGTGCCAGCAGCAACTTGGGTACCATGCAAAAACAAATTCTCTCATATTCCTTTTTTATCATGTCCTGTTAATAGTTTAGAAAACTCTAACCTAATATTAGTTAATATATTCTTATTTTTCCATTTAGAAATATTCATTTTAATCCAAGGCAGAGGATCATGTGGCTTTTCTTCTTTGAGGGATTCTGGTTTTATACCCATCACACCATCCCAGCAGGGTTTTGTTTGCTTTGAAGCAGAAGCCAAAGAAACAGTTGTGTAACTGACAGCTGCTGATGTTAAACTGAAAATGAGATGGCTGGACAAATGTCATTTCTATAAAAGCTCAAATTTGATGTATTGAGCTACTTTTAATCTAGTCTATTTACTGTGATACAAAGTTTAATAATGTTACAGGCAGAGAGGAGCCCCAGGGACGTTTTGTTTCATTGCCCTTATTTCTGTGTAATTCTGCTCCTTAGAGTTTTTTCTATCTCTTGTGTAGGATTAGACCTGCTCTAAAGAGCTTAAAACATACTAATCTTGGTTTGCCATTTTAAAGAGGTGCCAAACCACTATGACTTAAAATTCATGGGTTTTTTAAATGCTAAATTAATAAGCATCTTCTTGAAAGAGGCACCAGATGAACTCAGTATACAGCACAGATCCATGATTTTATTAAAGTCATTGTTCCCTCCACTGGCACAGATCACATCCTCTGCATTGTGTTTATGCTGCCATGACCACAAACCAGAAAACTCCTAAGGAGTTTCTTTGAATTGAGCTAGGTTTGTGAGTTATCTCCCATATTCGACTGAGCTCCTTGGAGGCACGGACTGTCTTTGACCCTTAGCACAGTGCCTGTCCCCAAGGGGGTGCTTAGTCAGCATGCATTTACTATTGATTATTTGAGAGCTTTGGATCCCCTCTTCACCATAAGAAGGCATCCAAGTGGACTTTAATAGATTGTGTTGTTTTAATTATGTGTGTGTGTGTTTGCGTTGTATTCTAGAAACAAAGATGTCAAATGTTAGCGGAGACTAACGTAACTTTGCAAAAGATAAATTCAGGAGAAGTTTGGCCCCGAAGGAAGGCAAGGTTCTTCTAAACTGTACAGTGTTCAGAAATTCAGAACTCTAAAAAAATGATGTGAAGGTAGAATGTGTCATCTGAAAAGAGCAGCCTTGTAAATAAGCTCGAAATGTAGAAGGGAAACCAGCTGTGCATGGGAAGTGAAGATTTGGGGCCTCCCCTTCTTCAGAGATGGGAGGATGGTATCACCCAAGTATAGCACAGTCATCCATGTGGGGAAGGCTAAAGGAAAAACCAAAAAACTGAGTGCGTGCTGATGTGGTCTATTAACTCTGCTGTAAAAGTACTGAACTAAATGTCAGGAAAATCTGAGTTCAAAACCCTCCTCAGAAATTTACTGGCTGTGTGACATTGAGGAAGTCGCTTACTGTCTCAGCCTATTGTAAAATAGGTATAATAATAGCTCCTACTTCACAAGGGTGCAGTAAGAATTAAATGAAATAATATTTCTAAATGTTAGCTATAATCTATTATTTAAAAAGAGTTTGGGCCTTGCTCTTAAATTGAATAATAGTTGCTAGGTAATGGATAGGAGTTTCTGAAGGAATTGGATTGAGTTACATCTTGGAGAACAGTTTTCCATCATTGAGCTAGATAGGAAACCTAGAGTAATGCCCGGTAGGAGTGAAGCCTAGCGTGGGGAATCCCGTAGCATGGATTTTCTATGGAAGACCTAAGTTTGAATCCCAAATCAGCTGCAGAGTCAAGAATGGGGCATGGGGACCAAAGATAAAGGCAGAAGTGAGAGATTTCAGAGGATAAATAAAGTAAGGGTAAGATGAAATCACTCAAGCAGCATTGAGTAAAGAGAAGATCTCAGGGACTAGGTCTGAGAGGATGGAGAGCCAGCCTGCATGCATGTATGCTCTTTGAATGTCAGGTTTGCCAGGAGAAGTATGGTTTACTACTTCTCCATATTTTTGCATCAGAATGACACGATTGGCCAAGTTTGTGAAATCAAGAGTGTCCTGGGAAGTCAGGTTTTACATTGAAGCTCCTCATATGAAGTTTTTTCCTCTTTTTTTTTTTTTAAGAAGCAATAAAATGTCTGTATTAAATGTAACTGATTTCAAAAGCTGCTCAATTTTTCATTCCCCGACAGGGATATCGCCAGTGCAATAAAAGAACTTCTTGACACAGTGAACAACGTCTTCAAAAAATATCAATACCAGAACCGCCGGGTAAGTTGGGCAGAAGCACTGTCTGCAGCTGCCATGATTGCTTTGGGCCCTCACTCATTGCAGGAAACCCTATTAAGGTAATCTCTAGAGAAAGGTAACTGTTGGAATTGAAGGCATATTATAAACTGAGACATTCCTGGCCCATCCATTTGAATGCTCCTTGGGTGTGACAGACTGGTCCTGATCAGAAACCTGTCATCTTGATCCAGGATTCATGATTTTCTCTATGTGGGGATTCCCTTCTCCTAGTCAGATCACACCCTCTTTGAAGGGGGCAGCTAGGTGGCACAGTGGATAGAGCACTGGCCCTGAAGTCAGGAGGACCTGAGTTCAAATCCTGCCTCAGACCAAACACTTGACACTCGCTGTGTGTGACCCTGGGCAAGTCACTTAACCCCTATTGCCTAAAAAAAAATAATAATAAAATAAAATAAAAAACTTTTTTTAAAAAAGGGGCAGCTAGGTGGTGCAGTGGATAGAGCACCGGCCCTGAAGTCAGGAGGACCTGAGTTCAAATCCGGCCTCAGACCAAACACTTGACACTTACTAGCTGTGTGACCCTGGGCAAGTCACTTAACCCCAACTGCCTAAGCAAAAAAAAAAAAGAAGAAGAAAAGAAAAAAGAGGAAGACAGATCACACCCTCTTTGCCTTAGTGGGCAGTTCCAGGGAGTTGCTATGACTAAACTTCCGGGGGTACATCTTCCCAGTCATAGCTAAGTAGATCCTTAAACAACTGACATGCAATTAATTCATTGCTTTCTTCCTATTCTGAAGCTTTTCCAGCTTGGTGTAGGACCCTGCTAGTCCGATCTTAGAAAATCCAGGCTTGCCTTCCCTCCGCAGTGATGTCTTGGGGTAGAACTGGATGGCAGTGGTTGTCTGTAGATTTTTACTGTGTCAGTGGCCTTTACCGAGTGTAACTTATATTGTGGTGTTGTCGGCTCTTAGCATCTTGTAATTTCACTATTTGACTTCTGTCTCTTTAGGCACTTGAACACCAAAAGAAAGAGTTTGTAAAATACTCTAAGAGCTTCAGCGACACTCTGAAAACCTATTTTAAAGATGGAAAGTAAGTTCAGTGACAGTGATATGCTTTGATTCAGTATGCGGGTATAGTATTCAGTTCTGTATGAGGAGTCCTAAAGCCATCTAAAGAAAACTGTCCCATAAATGTTAAATTTGCATTTAAGCAAACTAGTTCATTGGGGAGTTTCGGGGGGAGAAGAAAGCATTTTTAGATCATATATCTTAAATTTATAGAAATAGTCGGGATTGTATTTTATGATACCACACCTCGGTATTGGGAACTCTGGAGAGCTGTCCGAAGTACCTGGCACATCTTTGTCATCCACAGCTCTCAGGGAATGCATCTTAGTATCTAGCCACGGGCCTTTGACTTTTAATTAGACTCTGGAAATCTTGCTGACATGACATTGGTTCTGTCAGAATTTTTGTAATTTTTAATTCTTCAGTGGTGTGATGTACTCTTCTGGCTGCAACATTTTCAGACAGGTACTTGAGGCAGGTGATTCACTGGAGTCAGGAGACCTCGGTGAGAATCTTAGCTCTAATGCTTATCACCTATGTGATTGTAGACAAGTCATGTAGCCATTCAGAGACTTGGTTTCTTTTTCTTTTTCTTTTACCTTTTTGGTAAAATGTGAGAAGCAATCCTTGTACTGCCTGCCTCACAGGGTTATGAGCAAAGTGCTTTTTCCGCCGGGAGATGCTGAGTAGTCACTGTGGCAGCTACCTGTATTCTTATTGTCTGTCATGTGGTTTCACCTGCAAGTTTGGATCTCCCTGGACTCAATCCTGTTAGACCCCCTAGAGAGGAGGTCCAGGCTCATTCTACATTGACCATGTGCCATGTCACGTATAGATTGAGGATGCCCGTCCATGAAAGCTGCTCCATTAATTATCACTTGACATTTAATACATTTTAAAAATGAGAGTCAGTTCAGCAAAGCAAATAGGTTTGAAGCTGGGAATGAACACATTGAGTCAGGTTCTTGAACTTCAACGTAGAACATTTGACTTGTACTGTTAGGTGCCATTTTTGGTACCACTTTTTTTCACAATTTTTTTAAAAACTGACATCAGTTTTTCATGAGTTTCTTTATGCTGAATCCAGTAAATGTACCACACACTTTCAATGGAAGAATTTAGCTTAATGCGGTAGTGATTTTTGACTTTGAGTTAATTAACAACCATGATAGAGGAGGACCCTTTGAGGCAGGAATCCATTTGAAAGCCTCCCTTTGATTATTGAGGCTTATCCATGACCCCTGTGCCCTCGTTATGCAATGTTGACCTTTTTTAAACAGAAATGATATTATCGGTTCATAAGTAGGACATGTGTTCACACTGATCCATCACGGCTTTGACCAGGTCCCCCTTATAATTAGTTGGCATATTTGAGAGTGAGGTTGCAGACTTTATAAGAGGAAAGTAACTGGCTTGCTAGGGGATGGAACTCATTTCATTAGCATTGTGATATAATCATATGAGTGAACCTTTGTGTCCTAGGAAATGGGCAGTATTAAAAAATGGTAGAATTTAAAATCAGTTCTGATCTTTGAAAGCATTTCCTTTGTGTGTATAGTGTACATTGCAGTAGATAAATTGAGACTAGTATATAAAGTGCATACTTTTAAAATTTGCCTTGCATTCAGTACTGCTCATTCCCCATTAACACTGATAATTTCTTGTGCCTTTCTCTGTTGTGATTTTGTTTAGGAGCTCTTCCATTTCTGGGGAGATTGAGATGAAAAATTATTGGCTGATTAGTGTGAACCATGCACATTTCACATGGTGCCATTTGAGGCACAAATTTATAGGAAATCCAGGATAGGTTATAAGAGGCTATTCCCTCATGGCCATTCCATTTTTAATTTACCTTTTAGTACCGGAGGTATCATCCATAATTGGCAACCCACTGTCGAGTTATGGTCAGTGATAACCACTAGGAGTTGTCAGTAATGCAGAAACATTGCATTTCAAATATGAAAATGCAAACAATGATATTCCATAGGAACAATGGCTTCACTTTGGAAAGATGGTCGTGAATTGCAGGCTCAATTTTACCTTTACTTTGCAAATTGTGTTAAAGATTAGCATTTTTAAATATATGAGTTTTTGCTTCTAAAAACTGTCTAAAATACTACTATTTATGTTCTTTTGTAACAGGGCAATAAATGTGTTCATAAGTGCCAACCGATTAATTCATCAAACCAACTTGATACTTCAGACCTTCAAGACTGTGGCCTGAAAATTGTATATGTTAAGAGCTGTACGTTTCAGTGGTGGTGTTAAACTGCTGCCTTTACCTGTAAATTTTAAAGTTTGACTGTATAAATTATCAGTCCCTCCTGATGGGACCTAATCCAGGATGTTGAATGGGATTATTGCCATCTTACACCATATTTTTGTAAAACGTAGCTTAATCATAATCTTACACTGAAGATTTTGCATCACTTTTGCTATTATCATTCTTTTAAGAATTATAAGCCAAAAGAATTTACGCCTTAATGTGTCATTATGTAACATTCCTTAAAAGAATTGTAAATATTGGTGTTTGTTTCTGACATTTTAACTTGAAAGCGATATGCTGCAAGATAATGTATTTAACAATATTTGGTGGCAAATATTCAATAAATAGTTTACATCTGTTAAACATTTGTTTACTTGAAAAAAAAAATGTGTATAATCAGAAGACCAAGAACACTTGGTAAGGTCTACAGAACTTCTAACGGAAGCTTATTAACCGTTTGTCACATTTTAAAACAAGAAGAGTTCATATATATATATATATTCCTTGATCCATTTGGGCAAAAAGTAGTTAGTGAAAATGTTTTCACTAATTTACTGTATATGAGGTACTGAAATATTTTTTCCATTATCTCTATCCTCTTTCAAAAGACTTATTTGTCCATTTATAGTGTATTTACACTATTTTGTCACTTTCTGAGCTCAGAGGTTTAAAGATTATGACTCTGAGAAATAAGTCTTCTGTCAGGCCGGGTCCTAATAAGCTTTGCACACCTTTTTTTCATAAAACTGTAGCCCAAACTGGTTTTAGTTTGGGAACAAACCAATGCTAATTGGTGTGACATTGTCATGAGTGTTTATTATCGCACTCTTTAAATATGTACAGTTTTGTTTCCCAATAGAGAAGTTTTAAGGAAATTATGTATCAAGTGTTCATGTTAAGTAATTTCGTTTTCCATTTATGATAAAAAGAAAAAATAATTCAGAATTTGTTGATCATATATAAAAAGGTTTTAGGTTTTTAACTAGTTTTTTTATTGTTCTCATTACTACTTAAGGAATTTTTTTCTTTTTTTTTAAAAAGGGGTCAGAATTTTAGAGACTTGAGTTCATTAGAATGAGTAAAATGTGTTTCTTTATGGAAAGAGAAAGTATAAGTTTATGTAAAAGTAGAAAGTCACTGGAAACATTTTATAGCCCATTAATTTATGGCCTTTTTTTTTTTTAACCACCTTTGTTTCTCCCCTTTGAGATCTTCAGATAATAAAATGAATGAAATCGGCATTCTTTACTATTTATAATGTCATAAATCACTATTCTGGGAAGTAGTTGAATGTTGCTAGTTTGCTCTGTTGACTGTTTAAGAGAAAGACCAAATTAGCGAGGCAGTTTCTGGACTTAGCCCAAAAGCCAACTTTACAGAAGAACTGGAGACCTCCTGTTGTGCAAACGACTACAAAAAGGCTATCCCTGCGCAGGAGTATCTTCTAACCCAATAGGAGAAGACGTGGCACAGACGGAGGCTGAAAAACGGGGAGGGTGCCACAGAGCATGGACCTTTTCCTGACATTTTCTCTTTTTGCCACCAGTTCCTCCCTAGCCCCATCCCTGCCAGATTTTTACCCCGGAAAAAGGTGCTTTAGTTACTACCCTGATGGTAAGCTTCCAAGTTGCCTCAGAAATTCTGCTGCTGCCTGCCAGTCCTTCACCTAACTCTAACAGCCAAATTAAGTGTAATCCTATATATGCCAAAGACTGTGCTAAACTAGGCGTGGTGAGTACAGATACAAAGAAAGAAAGAATCCCTCATCATAAGGAGTTTGTGCTTCTAAGGGGCAGACAACAAGTATGTACTTGTTGAATAGAATAATAGGATTAATCCCTTTCGCCAAAGTGTGCTAAACCCAAGCTGCACCCTTCATTAGTGAGGATAAGAAAGGAAGCTACACCCTCTGATCCCATCCCCGCCTCCACTGGAAGGGCAGTGGCCACGCTCTTTGTGAGAAGGCTCTTTCCAGACTCTTCCCTCCTGCCAAACAGTTTAGCTGTTGCCTATGACTTGGTCTTTCCTGGGTTTTGTTTTTTATCACCTTCACATGTAAGTGTCTGTTCTTAACATTGATGAAAGATTTGTATATCATCTTTATGGTTTAGTCATGTGGTTGCCTTAAAATAAGGGCAAAGCTCTCTGGCCACCAGATAGAAATGTAGAAGTATGGTGGCTCTGATTAATGAGGCTTCAACATGCTCGTAAGATCGAACAGTTCAGTGACTTGAGTGAAGACCAGTGAAATCTGCAAAACATGAAGAATGTTTACCTCAAAGGGAGACTGTGGTCTTCCCAGGAAACATCCTAATTCCTGGTGTCCGTGTGCCCAAGAAACATGTTCATTTTAATTATCTAAGTGGAAGAGTAGGTGAAAGAAAGTGGACTAGGAAGACTTGGATTAGCAAGTTGGAGGAATTGTCAGGTAATGGTGAGGTGGGATTGCCTGTCGTCCAATCATTTAGCTTCATCCTTCCGAAGGAGGAGATTGGCTTGGGGATGACCCCCAGGCCTCTGCTGTCCTCCGGGATGTGCTCCAATGAAGAATGAAGCTTTCATCAGTGTGAAGACCAGAATAGAGAAAGAGCTCAAAGGATGTAAGTTGAAAATGTCTTCTAATAATAGGAAATTGGGAAACTTGCTATTGAAGCTGGGTGGTGCAATGGATAGTATTCTCCACCTGGTATCAAGAAGCTTGACCCAGGTTCAAATACTGCCTCTGACGATTGCTACCAAGCTACTTCACCTCTCAGTTTCCTTAACTGTAGAATGGGGATAATGGCACTTATTTTCCAAAGTTGCTGTAGTGATAAGATGAGATAATATTTGTAAAGCTATTATTATAATTAGAACAAGAGTAAAAGCTTCCCCCCACCCTTGCTTCTCAACCAGGAACCAACAAAAATTTTTGTAAAAGATGACTAGAAGCTGGAGGATGAAGCCACGGTCAAGTAAGAGGAGAGCTCCTTAAGGCTAACGGCTCTCGCTTATGAGTGTCGTCATTGTTCTGGGTATCTTAAAAGTGAAAGGTCAAATAGGCTTTAGTTTAAGGGTTTGATGGCCACTCATCTATTGGAGAAACCTGCCTAGAGCAGAGAAGACTTCATTATGCTTAGGAGTGACTTAAGGGAGAGTCTATTTGGGATTGAATACTTGTGTGAAAGCAGCAGATAGCTTCAGTTTGGAGCAGTCACAGTATTGGCAATAAGACTAGAAGGGACTTCACAGGGCTTCTAGTTCCACCCCCTCATTTAACAGATAAGGAAACTGAGGCCCAAGGACCTTAAGTGACTTGCCCAAGATTACCTAGCTAGCAAGTATCAGTATTGAGATTTGAACCCAGATTCTCTTACTAGAGCCAGGACCCTTTCTACTCTACTATGCTACTTTTGAAAGAGTATGAAGTTTGAGGTAGATTTTAAAGCAGCTATTTCATAATACTTCGGAGGCAGATTTTCAAGGGAAAAAAATCCAAAGTCAGTAACTAAGCGGACCTAAACAAACAAGCACAAAGCAGTGGCCCAGGAAGATTAGAGTTTCTTTTTAGTCCTGACTTCAGCCTGTACCAGCTGGGGAACCTTACGGAGGGCCCCACCTCTCTTAGCCTCTATTTCCTTCTGGCAAAATAGAGCTAATGCTTTACCAGAGGTGTCAAGCTTGCTGCGGCAAAACTCCCTAGTGAGGCCAGGACCAGAATAAAATGTAATTGGGGAAAGTGACAAAATAAGTAAAAATACAATGCAACATGCCACTGCAGCTATTCAGTCGTGTCCTGCCCTTCATGACCCCATTTAGGGTTTTCTTGGCGAAGATACTGGAGTGGTTTGCATTTGCTTCGTTTTACAGATGAGGAACTGAGACAAACGGTTAAGTGACTTGCCCAGGGTCACATAACTAGTAAGTGTCTGAGGTCACATTCGAACTGGGAAAGATGAGGCTTCCTGACTTAAGACCCAGTGCTCTGTGCACTATGGCGCCACCTAGCTGTTAAAGAATACGACGTAGATAATGTTAATTTGTGATTTTCTTAGTCAATGTGCTGCCTGCAGGGATCCTATTTGAGTTGATGCCGCTGCTGCCTGTGCACAGGGTAGTGGAAAGGGCTCAATGAACCTCGGAGCACTGAAGAAACAATCCTAGGTCATGTTGAGGAGTGCCTTTATGTACATTCTCTGACCTGGACCTCACTGCAGCCTTATGAGGAAGTAAGTCATTTCATCCATCCATTCAATAGATCAAGCATGTTTTAAGCACCTACTGTATGCCAAGCACTATGCTGAATGCTGCAGATACAAAGACCAAAATTGAAAAGCTACCACCCTCAAGAAAATTATATTCTGACAGGGGAAGGGGGACAAAGAGATGAGAGAGAGAGAGAAAGGATATATTTATAGGTGATAGGTGATGGAAAGATGATTGATAGATTGCTATATGATAGATGATAGAAAGATAGGATAGATGATAAAGATAGGTGATAGAATGAATGAACATAAAAGAATAAATGACCATAAAGAAGTTTGGGGCCGAGGGCCCTAGCATTTGGAGGATCAGGAGAGGCTTTGTGAGGTGAAAGTGAGGAGAGTGCATCTGGGCACCTTGCGAGGCTAACTCAAGACACTGAGATAAGAGACGAGGGGAGCGTGTGTGTAAGAAGCAGTCCGCCACTCTGGCTGAATCGCAGAATGCAAGAGGGAGAGTAATGTCCAATGAGGCCAGACAGGTTGGGGAGGGCTTTAAAAGTGAAACAGAGGAGTCTAATTTGTCCTAGAGGCAATGCGGAGCCACTGGGTTTTGTTAAATAGGAGAGAGACATGGTCACGTGTTTTGTTAAGAAAATTGCCCCCACCAGCTATATAAAAAGAGGACCTGGAGGAGTGAGAAGTTTGTGGCAGCCCCCCTCAGGAGGCTAGGCAATGTGCTTTTCATACATGATGATCTCATTGGAGCCCTACAGCAAACAGGTGAGAGGTTTTGCAGATGCTGTTCCTATTTTACAGATGTGGCAACTGAGGCACAAGGAGGTGAAGAGATTCAGCCATCATCACGCAGGTAGTGCCTGTCAGAGGCAGTATTTGGAGCTAGATTTTTCCCTGAGATAGTCTGGAGCAGTGAAAAGAACACGGGATTCGGAGTCAGACAAGACCTGGATTCATATTCTGGCTCAGGTCCTTACTAGCTCTGTGAGCACGGAGGCAAGTCCCTTAATCTCTTTAGTGTTCTGGTCCCTAGTCCGTAAAAAGAGAAGGCTGGCGTGGATGAGCTCTAAGGTCCCCTCCAGTTCTCAATTGGCTTAGTTTTGAAGCCTCTTCCTGACATATGCCATCTGTGTGAGTGACCCCAGAGGCTTCCCCGGGCCTCAG